AAATAAAAATTGAAAATTAAATGGGTTAATTGTTAAAAGGTTAAAACTTAATTTTAAGTTACAACACTAATTACATGCATTTTTTATGGAGGCCAGAGGGGTCAAGCCACTCGTATCAACGGGCCATGAATAGTAACCGTGACAAGGTTGGAGGAGTCATGGATGGTTTATTCATTTGTGTAGTGATCACCGCTAGCAGTTAAGCTGAGGCAAATGTATTGAGTTAGGGGAACTGGTAGTCTGGGAAAGTACAGAAATTTAAATAAAAATAAAAAATAAAATAAAAAATCGAATTTTTTTTTGTGGGGTCACTTGATCACACATGACCCCATGTTGGTCCACAGTTGGTGGAATGGTTTAAGGAAAATGTTTGGTGCAGATACCTCACAAAATGTGGACCTCGCATGAATAAATAATGTCAAAAAATTCACCCACCCACCCCGCCCATGTGAGGTGTTGGTAGGGGTTCAGTGAACCTCTACTTTTTAACCAATCACTGTCCATGGTTTAAACCATTTGTACGAAAAATGGGATTCATAAAATTGCTTCAGAAACTCACATAGGGGTGGCCTCATGTGATTAAAATATTGTCCATAAGAACCATCTATCCCTATTGTATCTATTCTGTAACAATTCTGTAACTCCATTTTCTGTACATATAGAGTGCTTCGGGTGGAATGGGTTATGGAGGCTTGATATTGCCCACAAGCTATGATTGTTCTAGTGGAGGACTTTTGCACTACTAACTAAAGGCAATCTTAATCGTAGAGGAGTGACTTTCTCTTTGAAGTTTGTGCGATGTGGGGTCGAGTGAAATATATTGCATGCTTATCTCAGTGGCCAAGGGTGAAACGTGTTTGGAAAAATGCTAGTTGGTTGACGTGTTATGAAATCGTGTCGGCGTATGGTAACTTGAGAGTCACTAATTACGTTATTTGAAGGTTGTTTGTCGATGGAGTTTTGCCAAGTGCGTTTCAGCTCAGGAGACTAGGAGCTGGAGGTGGTTATAAGCGGATGGGAGAAGAGCAAAGGCCGAGAAATGGGTTTTTAAGGGAGTATCATTAAAATGAATTGTGATATGCAGAGAGTCTTTTGTGCTAAAAGGGGTTAGTATATGCCACTGTTCTAAAAGGCGTGCATTGACGGCCCCTGAACATCGCCAATGAGCGGTGAAAACGCAAAACAAAGTAGTTTGGCACCTTATTTAGTGATCAACAACAATCGTTGACCGCTAATGTGCACCTAGGCGAGCATAATTATCCTTTTTTTTCTTTACAATTCTTCTAAATTAAAACTTAAATGTTGATTTCTTCACTTTTGTCGGTTCTAAATTCAAAATAGTCGCTTGAAGCCTTGAATAGGGGAAATCTTTCAAAAATTCCTATTTATTTGCTATTTAATATTTATATTTGGAACTTATCTTTTTATTGAAAACTTTGAAAACATGTATAAATTTTCTATAAATTTGTTTTAGATGTTTGGTATGTATTATTTTTACGTATTAAATGATTTTTTGATTGATTAAAAATTAAAATAATATTAAAATAAGAAAACGCAATTTTATGTCTATGCCTTCCCTAGTCTATAGTTTGGCCTCCAGTCATTACACTTTTTAGAACACTATTATTTGCTAAAGATGCTAAATTAACACATTCGGAAGCTGAATTGATAGGTCAGAGCTTTTCTACCGACTTTCATGAATCTCCTAAGACATTGGTTTTATTAGACATGGTTACCTTATTCAGTGAGGTGCATAGTGGTCCTTGTCGCCATTTACATGTTTTTTTTTTTTTACTTCATCACGGGGCGGGGCTCGTCGGGACGAGTTATTTTGCCATCTCTACATCAATCACATGAATAGCATGTGGTGCAGGGATTGAAATAGAAATAAAATAAATTAACCCACTTGTACATTCATAGTATGTTTGGTACAACTTAAAACTCAATTAAAATCAATTTTTTGATCGTTATTTCATTATTTTAGCAGTCATTTTTAAATTCTTCTCTCACAGATGGGACTCACTTTATCTCTAACGATTAAAAAATTAATTAACAAAATCCCTACCAAACAAGCACTCAAAGTGTATATCTTGTATGACAACCCATTAGGTTAAAAATTGAAGCCATTGATTTAAATGAATGTTAGAGAAATCAATGGTAAAATTGATTGTCATACCATGAAATGTCATCCAAAATAAAGGTGTAGCGAAATTGAAATAAAATTGACATTAGCTAAATTGGCTGAAATTAAGTTGTTACACCAATAAAAAATTTACGATTCTTTTTATTTGAACTTAAGTACTTGTAGATGTGAGGTTGGCTCAAATAAACAATACTATTGATGCCATTGACGACCTTGGTGGCCAGCTGAATAATCTGACACCATTAAGGTTGTCGGTATTAGAGTTTTCTAATTGTTAAATGGCTCTTTTGAGAAGTTAATTACTTGCTTATAAGTTAGTTTAATTAAAAGTCAATAATTATATTGAAGATGAGAAATTTGTGTGTCATGCCATGCTTATGCTGGGCCCTCTATGCATGTGGCTGTGATCTTGGTAAGGTTCGTTAGATGAAGATTATGCACAAGTTTATCACTTTAAGAAGATTCCTTGAAGTGCACCACAAGATAAAGGAACTTTCCACGTTAGTAAAGTATAAAATTCCCAATTTGACTAAAAATTTAAAAATGCATTTTCAATTACACGTAATTCAAAATAAAATTTCTTATTTTTTAACCTATTTAGAGTACATTTTCCCACAAAAACTTATTTTTAATGGATTCCAAACAGAGCCATAATTTGAGTAGATTTCATTAGTTGGAGTAAATATTATTTAATTTGAAAAATGATAGGTGAAATAGTCGTAAAATTTGAAATTAAATTAGAATTTTGTGATCCAATTTAAAAACTAAATTGAAGCTAAGTAACTAAATTGAGACAATTAAAATTTCGCTAAAAAATTTAGTGATGGTAGATGAAATTTTAAACATTTTAATTTTCTTTAAAATGAAATCTTAACTAGTGTGACATACTTAGATGCATTTAGTTTTTTATTTTCAAGTTGTTTTTAGTTTTTATGTGTTTTTTAAAATTGAACGTTTACATAAATTTATTTATATAAAATTTTTAGAAAAAACCCAAAATTTTCTTTGATATGATATTTTTGAAAATTCAAAATTTAAAATATGAGAAATAAACATTAAAATAAAATTTTGAATTTAAAAAATTCAAAAAACAATTCAAAAATAAAAACCATAAAAAATTGATAAATTCTTAAAAATCTAAAAGAGTATATTTTAAAAGAATAAATTCTAAATAAACAAAAATAATAAAAAAATAGTTCAAACTCTTAATAATTATTTACGTAATTATTTTAATTAAATATATTTAAATCAACACATGTAAAACTTTTCTATTCACATAATTAATTTTTATATTTTCATTTCCTATATTCGACAAACTAAATTTATTATTTTTTGTTTTAGTTTTGTAGAGGAAAAAAATATTGTTAGAATTATTAGTTTTTTCTTAAAATTTCAAACTAAGTGTTTTTCTATTTTTTTGTTTTGAGAAATAATTTTTCAAAATAATAAATTTAACTAGTTTTTTTTGTAGTCCTAAAATAAACTCTCAGAACTGAAAATTGAAATTAACTTAAAAAATTGAAAATTAAAAACGGAATAATAAACTAAACGGGCCATTAAAGATTGGAGGTCTAAATATCATAAAGAATTGAATGAAAACATAACTATATTAATTAAGTATATAATAACGACAGGTACAATTTCGTTGAAATGTAGGGGTCATCAGATTCAATATTTTAATAGCATTAACAGTAAGACAATTCATATATCAATCTAAGCGGTCAAAAATGATTGGTTTTCTTTACAACACCGAGACAAAATACTAATGAGTTTTATATTAAACATGGATTGAGACTCTTTGTGGGTATCAGTATATATGCAACTCTTGTTTCTTTGTCTGTTGGAACACATCTCGTGATTAACCTCTCTCACGATACTCTACGGACAGGACGGTGAGGGATTCTTGAGGTTGGGGTTCAATCTTTAATAATGGATTTTATATTCTTTAATTTTAAATGTACGCATTTGGACTTCATTAAAAATATATTTTGAAGAAAGATATATTGTGAAATAGTGATTTTTTCGAAGATATGAGTGGTTAAAAATAAGAAAAAAAATTATATTTATATCTAATATTATTTTATTAAAAAATATGTGATTAAAATAAGAAAGAGAAAATTATATTTTTACAAAATAAAGCCCATACAAGAGATAAATCAAGATTCTCTTAAAAAATAAAATTGTTACTCTTTGTGTATAATTGAATCGTATAAGTTTTGAATTCATTAGACTGCGTTTGAAAATTATGTTTGACCATTTATGAATAATTTAGTAATTTTGCCAAATAAAAACTAAAATAAGTCATTAATAATAATGGATTTAATTCTAATTTGAAAAGATATACACTATACTTATACCTTATTTGAACCACATTCTTGTCAAAAAATGCATTTTTGAATAGTGTATTGATGAAAAATATGTTATTAAAAAATAAAGAAAAATTTTGAATTTGTGTGTAATATTATTTTAATGAAAGATGTGTGGTTGAAATAAAATCAAATTACTGTTAAAAAATATATTTTGATAAAAATAATGAGACTCAAACAAAAATTTAATAAAATAATCAAGAAAATCTTAAAATATTGTTCTTTTATTTGGGTAAAATAAGAATTTTGTTGGCACATCGTCTTTAAAAATTAATTTTTCCTCAATTAAATTTTAATTATACATTTTTTTTAATAAATTAATTTTGCACGTGGAAACAAACATATTTTTATATTATTAATTACATGTTCCACTTGATTAAAAAGGACAATTGAATTCAAATTTGATACCGTAATTGAAAATGTGTCTAGGTTCATCCCCCCAACATTTTACCGACGCAAATCCTGAAGTATAAAAATAAAATCCATCAGACAATCCATTCAAACTCTGAAGAGTATCTATTACTATTCAATTCCTAGTACAATTTTGAAGTTTTTAACTTACCAAAATACCCCTACTGCAACTTTCTCTTGCAATATTTCCCAACATTTTCCTTTCTCCCTCCCTCCAAATGGCTGCCATGGCTTCTTTTTACCTAAAAAACCCAGGCCCTTTATCCCACTCTTTCACCAAACCAACGAAAACCCATTTCGCGCCACCTCTTAAACTCCGCCTCCGTCACGGTCCCGCCTCGAAAACCAGATATCCGACCCGGATATCCGCCTCCTTGATCAACCCGGATGGAGGAAAACTAATCGAACTCTTCGTTGAAAAATCAGAAAAGGACTCCAAGACAGAAAAGGCCTTAGAGCTACCCAAGATCAAGCTCTCGAAAATCGATCTTCAATGGGTTCATGTGCTCAGCGAAGGCTGGGCCAGTCCATTGAAGGGGTTTATGAGGGAGTCGGAGTTCCTCCAAACGCTTCATTTCAACTCGCTCCGGCTAGATAATGGGTCGGTTGTGAACATGTCGGTGCCGATTGTGCTCGCCATCGACGATGCTCAGAAGGGTCGGGTCGGATCTTCTACCAGCGTGGCGCTCGTGGACGATGAAGATAAAGTGGTGGCCATCTTGAGCGAGTAAGGGCATTTTCGTCATTTTACACCTCACTTCACATAATTCTTTATGTTACCAGTTTTGAATTGCATTATTGGAATCTCGTAGGTGTTCAATTTTGATGCTAATTGTTTTTGAAGGTGAATCATGTGATAAATTATTTTCTAATTCGAGATTTTTATGTGAAATGACTGGGGCATATATATTTATTTGAGGGCATTTTGGTCTTTTAGCTTTCCTTCCTGTACATGCATGGAGCTCCGTTTGTTCCCATCCTCTTTCAATTTTTTTTCCTTCCTCTGTTTTCAATCACAATCTTTTATGAAATAATATTATACGTAAATCTAAAAATTTTTGTTCTTTTTCAACCACAAATTCTTTAAAAATACACTATTTCAAATATTAAAATTTGATATAAAGGGCCAAAAGGGGCGGAATTGGTATGAATTTCAACGTTGCTTGGCCCCATTTTGTTTTCTTAAATTCATTTTCATTCAAACATTTCATATATATTTTTTTTCGCAATTTTTATCAATTTTTCCATCAAACATTTCATAAATTTTTATCAAAACTTAATAAAAATTCTGTTTTTTAGCTAAAAACAAATCAGACCAAAGGCTGGTCCAGACATACGTTGGTTCGGATTTTCGGTGATGCTTTACTTGAAGCTATCCCGACCCAAAGTTGGGGCTGATACCCGCAACCAAACCAATCACGCTTGGGTCGGTTCGGTTGGTTAAGTCGATTTGGCGCGATACCAGCCAAAATGGGTCGGATCAGTTGGTTTATGGGGCTAAGTTTCACCCTCAATGCTGATCAGAGAGTTGTAGAGGATTGCACTAGTTTGTAGTTTAAAATGGGATTTAAGAAGTAAAACAATTGATAATTGATTGTTCGATGTTATTCATCAAAATTTTGTTTTTTGTCACCAAGTTTAGGACCTAATAATAATATAATGGAGGAGGAAAATGTTTTTACATTATGTTAGTTTTACACTTGCCGTACACATTGATGGCATAAAATATGTGCAAGGCCGGCCTGAGATTTTGGGGGCCATAGACCAATTTCAAATATGAGATCTTATATATATATATATATATCTGTGTGTGTAAAAATACATTTAAAATAAAAAACAAATAATTTTTTTTGGGGCCTCACCAAAGTGGGGCTTAGGCGATCGCCTATCTCGCCTATAGTTAGAGCCAGCACTGAATATGTGACTTGTCAAGAAATTTGAATTCGTTATATTGAATTTAAATGCAGCATTGAGATATACAAGCACAACAAAGAAGAAAGAATAGCAAGAACTTGGGGAACCACTGCCCCTGGTCTACCTTATGTCGAGGAAGCTATTAGCCGTGCTGGAAACTGGTTGATTGGTGGCGATTTGGAGGTTTTAGAACCGATCAAGTACAATGACGGTCTTGATCATTTCCGTCTTTCCCCAGCACAACTACGTAACGAGTTTGAGAAACGGAATGCGGATGCAGTGTTTGCTTTCCAGCTCAGAAATCCGGTGCACAATGGACATGCTTTGTTGATGACTGACACACGCAGACGGCTTCTTGAGATGGGATACAAGAATCCCGTCCTTTTGCTTCATCCGTTGGGAGGCTACACAAAGGCAGATGATGTTCCACTTATTTGGCGAATGAGGCAACATGAGAAGGTTCGTGAACTCTCCAAGTCTGTTATATTTGCCTCACCTATTACAATCTTTAGTAAAACTCATTTTTCCCCGAACTCTACTTTTTAACCACACATTTATTCTTTAGAAAATTCACTTTTCACAAAATCTATTCTCAAATAGGGACAAAGTGTTTGGTACGAAAGATGGATAGTACCAGATAATACCAAAGAAAGAAAAATAGATAAAATCATGTTCATTATATTATCTAGTACTATATTGTGTACAAAATGTGAACTAAAAGTTCATAATATCTCACATGACGATTGTTGCCCATATTTATTGGTGTTACAGGTGCTTGAAGATGGTGTTCTTGATCCAGAGACAACAGTAGTTTCTATTTTCCCATCTCCGATGCACTATGCTGGACCTACTGAGGTACAATGGCATGCGAAGGCTCGGATAAATGCAGGTGCAAACTTCTACATCGTCGGTCGGGATCCAGCTGGCATGAGCCATCCACTTGAGAAAAGAGATTTGTATGATGCCGATCATGGCAAGAAGGTCCTCAGCATGGCTCCTGGACTGGAACGGCTCAACATTCTGCCATTCAAGGTAGATAAACATACACATGGCCTTACCACAGTCATGACGTTCTTGTTATGGTTTTGATTCTGCTGAACATTTAAATATTTCCCATCTCTGGAAATATGAAGTATTTTTGAATCTAATTAGCTGTTATGGACGAATGGTAGGTTGCTGCATATGACTTAACTCAGAGTAAAATGGCATTCTTCGATCCATCAAGGCCTCAGGATTTTCTGTTCATATCTGGCACCAAGGTATCTCTTTCTAATGGCTGTTTTCGATACTTTTTCCTCTCTGCAATCTGCCACCTGCCACACAAAAAATCTCGCACACAAACAATAAATTAAGAAAACCGAACAAGTAAAATTCTTTCTAAACGAGGACATAATTCAAATTTGAAGCGAAATAATTTGTAAAAGTTGCTCTTAATGCTGATCCTAGAAATGTTACGAAGTGATTGTATTCTAAGCTATTTGTTAAAACATCAATATAATGTTCTGGTTAAATGTTGTGTCTAATTGCTCGTGTTTTTCCAGATGCGAACGCTTGCAAAGAACAAGGAGAACCCTCCTGACGGATTTATGTGCCCGGGTGGTTGGAAAGTCTTGGTGGAATATTACGATAGTTTGAATCTGGTTGAGAATGCAAAGATGCCTGAACCTGTACCAGCTTGAAACTCAACATTGTGTGATTAGGCTCTGTAGAATCCTAAAACCTTTTTGTCTATAACATTTGATTGCATAGAGTTTGGTTAGATTTTCTTGGGTGCAACACTTCAACATTCCGGCTTAACCTGTTTATACATGTATTGTGCGAGTGACATGGCACTTGGAAGAGATGTTTTAAGATGTGCGCAGATTGTTATACTATTGCCTTTCTTTTTGTGCTTTATTGCAGAAGATTAAAATGCATTGCTGTTGAAAGTCTAAAATTACAGCATCACTTTTAAAGCACGATATTAAAACAAAACAAGAAAATTCAGAGGCTTAGCAGGTCTAGATGAGATGAGATGGTAAATTGTAAGAAAAGAGAAACCCTGATAGCCAGAGTACCAGCAAATATAATTGTAGTAACACAGCAGATAGGTATACTAATGACAAATATCTTAAGACATATCCATTGAGCATTTACCATACGTTATTACATGATACGACAAGTGCGGGGGTCGTGAACAAGTAACAAAATGATGATGAGTGTCATGTTCCAAGAGGATTGTTCTGTTTGTGCTTAAGTAATTCAATTCTAGTTTTATTAAATTGTGCATTAACACAAACAAAATGGTTTGATATTTTTGATTAACTACTTAAATAGAAGGCATTTAGAACAATGCACTACCACTCATATTAATTTTCAAGAGAAAAGCGTAGAGGGTTACCTAAGGTTTGGAGTTGATAGTTGCTTCACCTCTCTTTCCATTTACGATGGTGCTATTGACAAGAACCTTGAAAAAAAGTGGCAAGGTTTTCTCTCCCGTGTCCAGTCAGGCATGAGAATCAATAGAAGAAGACTAGTTAAGGAGTATGAGAATAATAAATTATCTGGGTGAAAAAGCTAAGAATGATCTAATATTCAAGTCAGGATGATCTACCTTTTTTATATCAGCAGTGGTTAGGAGCTGGCGCGGTCTGATTATGAAGGAAAGGGAATCGAATGGAATACTAATGAGAATCTTAGAATGGAACCATTGATTCCATATCCAACCATAGAACCGAACTGGAACCGAACCAATCGGTTCCTATTCGGTCCAATTCTTTATGTTGAAAAATTATAGAAATAAAGTATGAAACTACTTATCAATTGTAAAAAGACAAAAATAAAGTATAAAATCACTTGTTATTCTTTTAATCTAACAAAACAAAATAATAATAATAATAATAATAATAATAATAATAATAATAATAATAATAATAATAATAATAATAAATCAATTGAACAACACTACAAACAAAAATTCAATTCATAGCTCAAGATCAACTCATAATGGCGAAAAAAATTATTAAAGATAGCATAAACGGTAAAATCTCGTCTGAAAAATAGTTTTTAAGAAAATTCTTATAACAATAACCTGATTATCTTTAGTAATCCTCAAGGATCTTGATTCTTGATGGCCGGTCACTTTGAAACAACGAAAAACGTGAATTCTTATGAAATATTCATCTAACAGTATATTTTTCTTATTGGATTGCATTAAAACTATGAAGTTGTAAAATATTTATAAAATTATTTAGACTCGAATTTCGATTACCCATTAGGGGAAACATTTGATAATTTTGAGGGAGTGTTCAAAGATCTAGTGTATTTTCGTGTAAGCAACAAGAGATATTCGGGAGAGTCGAATTCACTACTGGTTCTCAAGACAGTATAGAGAATCGGACCAGAAGTGATCGGTTCTCGATGCATTGTCCCAAAATCAACCCATTTAGTAGAGGAACCGAAATCACACTGACTGATTCTATTTGATTTGGTCCGATTCCATCAGTTTTGGGAAAAAAATACCTACCCATAGCAGTGGTCTATAGCCCGTCTTCTCATATGTGGAGATTAGGCTATAGTATGTTTTCCATTTCTCCTAAATTTTCGAAGTTATTATGGAACGTTGAGCTAAATGCCTCAAATGTTGGAAATAACTGCCCCATGAGGCTGCGCATGCCAAGACTAAATCAAGAGTTTGGTAATTGAGCTTTGATATAAATTGTTACGAAAAGAAACGAATAACAATAATAACGCACAACCACAATTCCTTGACTAATATAAAGATAATCAATAATTGGACAAAATGCTTCGAGAGTTATAAAATTAAAGGAATAAGAGATAAATATGATAGAAGAAATGGAGAAAGTCAAAATTCAAGTCTGTATTTTATTGATAATATCCGGTATTTATAGGGTTTAAAATGAGAATTACAATCAGAGTAGAACATATTAAATAAAACTTATTTATGTAGCATGATAAGATTAGATAATCATCAATTATTATATCATACTTTTACAACACTGCCTATTTGACGATTAGTTTTACAATAACTCCCTCGTTAAAATTATCAAGTAAGTTTTAGCCTTAGTTGTCCAATTTGATTGGGAGTTGGTGCACCTAGATGTTAAGATGACTTTTATTTTATTTTATTTTATTTATTTATTTATTTTATTTCATTTCATGGGGAGTTGAATGAGATGATTATATGTTCCTACCTCAAGGATTTTAGGTGAAAAGGAAGTTTGAACTTGTACTTGCTTAGAAAGTCATTATATGGTCTTAGGCAATGATATCAAAAAATTAATACTTATGTGCTTAAAATTAGTTTTAAAAGGTGTGATTTTGATGCATGTTCGCATTATAATAACTTTAAAAAATAGGTTGTGAAATTTATTTATTGTTCTATGTGAATGACATGTTGCTTGTCAATCTTAGTAAATCTGAAATTAAAAAGATGAAAAATCTTTTAAAATTGAAATTTGACATGAAAGACTTACGAAAGGCAACAAAATTATTCGTATGGCTATTAAAAGAAGGGATCATAATAGAATGACTATTAATCAAAAGTCTTATTTGGATAAACTGATAATCAAATTTGGTATGAAATTCTCAAAGTTTGTCAATGTACCGTTATTGCACACATGAATTTTTCTGCACAATGCCCTAAAAAAGAAGAAGAAAAGCTTGAAATGAGTAATATTCCCCATGCTAATGCCATTGGTTTTGTGATATATTTTATGAATACCAAGAGACCAGACATTGCATGTGCTATTATTTTCTTGAGTATGTTTATGTCTTATCGAGATAAACCTCATTGGACTACACTTAGATGGATATTGGGTTACCAAGTTGGAACTATAAAAAATTGATTAATGTTTGGAAAAAAAAAGTGTTAAGTTACAGCTAAACGGCTCTGTAAATTCCAACATTGTAGGAGAGAAAGATTAGAGAAAATCTATCACTTCATACTCTTTATATTAGGTAATAATTGTATCACTTGAAAATCACAGTTGCAATCTATAGTTACACTCTCTATTACTGAAGTAGAATATATTTCATTAATTGAAGTTGTAAAAAAATGCATATGATTGAAAGACATGCTATGTGAATTGAATTTCTTGAATGAAAATGTCATGAACTTTACTGATAGTCAAAGTGCATTCATGTTGTTTAAAAACCATTTGTATCATGAAAGAGCAAAGTATATTAAGGTAAAATACCACTTTATTAGGAAGAAGTTAGCTTATTGTGAATTTATAATGTTTAAAATTGCAACTGATGATAATCTTGCAGATGTTGGAACTAAAGTAATTGCAGTCGAAAATTCAACAAACATTTATCAATTTTGAATATTGATAATGGTTAACTGTTGTGCGGGTGCTGAGCTAGAATGAGTGATGATAGGTGAAATAAGATCACACTGAAGAATAACACTTGTAATTAAGTAGTGAATTATGATTATTCCAAGGTGAAGATGATCACTCAAATCTATACGGGACTTTCTTAATGGAAAAGTGGATTTGGTGAGGATTGTGGACCTTAAATTAAATTCCATGATTGGCGATTATCTTGTGTTCACTTTCTCTTCTTGTCTTGTATCTCACCTTCTCTCATCCATACATTAATTTGAATTTTGAATTCATTTTGTCTTGGTTGTCAAATAGAAAGTGACTTCTCTTGATATTATTCGAACTTGGAAAAAGAATAAAAAAAATTGAGCAAGAGGAACCAAGTAGGAGAGGCTTATTTCTTTGGTGAAAATTCTTGATTATCTCTGGTGGATTTTTTCTTGATAAATCCATTGTCATTCCCTTTGAATGACAGTACTTTGATCCAGTGTGACACAAATTTTAGCTCAACGTCAAAACTCCATTGTTGGTGGTATTGAAGAAACTTTGGGTCGATTTTATCACATCGAGAGATATTATTCCACGTTGTGGATTGTAACAAACCACTGCAATCTACATTTTATCTCCACAAATAGACACAAGATTAGATGATCAGAATTAAGAAATGGAAATTAAAACATAGCTGGAACAAAATGTTAGATGAGCATAATTGAGGAATGGGAATTAGATCCCCCTTCATAGCTGGAACAGACAATACATTAGCTGGTGTGTAGGACTTAGGGGAGGCCGGTATTTGTAATAGAGAGGCCGGTGTCATCACCACGCATGATGCTGAAGACAGGATGTTAACGTCAGTGGTAACATGATGCGAAGCTCTGGAGTCTAGCAACTAACCGGGTTGGGCGAAGCTGGCCTAGACTGGACGGAACTGAAATTTGTTGCAGCCGACTTTGATGTTGTCTAGTGGCTGGAAAAATATGAAACTTCGGACAACGTTGGTTGGCCGTACATAGCAGATAGAAGTCCTTATACATGTGGCAACTAGGGGTGGACCAAGAGTGTTGATGTGGGCTGTGGAGATATTAGAGAATAGATTAGTTGAAATACAGAGGAAGAAGGGGTCTAACTTGCTTCATGTCTTTCCCTTCTACGATGTAGAATAGTTTTTCCCGAGGTCATATAAGAATAGTTCTGATGAAATAAAGAAGAATGTACTGAAG